CGCAAAAAGAAAAAAGCCGGAAGTGGCGCTGTGGCTCAAGTGGCAGAGCACTAGCCTTGAGCTGAAGAGCTGAGGGATAGTGCCCAGGTCCAGAGTTCAGGCCCCACGACCGGACCCAAAAAAAAAAAAAAAAGAACTTCTTCACACATAGTAGTTAAATAGTTAAGTACAGAAAACAAGGAAAGTTTAAAAAAAGAAAAAAACTAAGAAAACAAATCATTTACAAAAAGGAACCTATAGATGCTGGAGGGGATGTGGCCAGAAGGGAACCTTACTGCATTGTTGGTGGGAGTGTACACCTGTTCAACCACTTTGGAAAGTAGTATGGAGGTTCCTCAAAAGACTCCACATAGAGCTACCCTATGACCCAGCAATCCCACTTTTGACATTTACCCAAATGATCACAAACAAGACCAATCTAAAGCTACCAGTACAACTATGTTTATGGCAGCATTATTCACCATAGCTAAGATATGGAACCAACCCAGATGGCCCTCAGTAGATGAATGGATCAAGACAATGTAGTGTGTGTGTGTGTGTGTGTGTGTGTGTGTGTGCATGCGTGTGTGTGTGTGCATGCGTGTGTATGTGTGTGTGTGTGCATGCGTGTGTGTGTGTGCGTGTATACACGCACACACACACACACACAATGGAATTCTATCCCTCCATCAGAAAGAACGACATCACCCCATTTGTTAGGAAATGGAAAGACTTGGAAAAAAATTATATTAAGTGAAGTAAGACAGGCACAAAGAAACATAGGTCCTATGGTTTCCCTTATTTGCAATAAATAGTATGTATCTGGGACAAGCAGAAAAAGCCAAAAGCTATGAACATATAACCAGATAATATGATGTTAAGCAAAATGAACACCAAGATAAGGACACAAATGGTTTTTTCTTGCTTGCTATTGTTCCTATTTATAATGTGCCATGTGATTTTTTTTTGTTTCTTCGTATGTTCCTCCCCCATGGTATAATCCCTGTTTTCACTGTATTTGATGTTGGTGCCTTGCATCTTGCATATACACTTCTCTAGCCTGGGGAAGGGAAGGAAAAAACAAAATTCTTTAATAGGGATAGAGGTTGACCCATTGTTAACAATGAGATGTACAAGACACTATGCTGAAAAACAAAGTTTATAATTTAGGTGGGGTGGGGGGAGTGTAGTTGTAGAGGTGGGAGGATAGTGGAAAAACAAAGGAGGAGGTAACAATGTTTGATAGGAAATGTACTCATTACCTTGCTTATATAAACTGTAACCCCTCTTTACAGTATTTTTACAATAAAAAAAATGGTACTTTTTTTTTTTGGTTGGTCATGGGGCTTGTACTCTGGGCCTGGGCACTGTCCCTCAGCTCTTCAGCTCAAGGTGGCACTCTACCACTTGAACCACAGCACCACTTCCTAAAAAATGTATTTAAAAAAAGGAAACTGAAAATAGAAACAGATTTCACAATAACTTTTTTAAAAGGAGGGCTTAGAATTCCACATTTTAAGCACTAAAAGTCAGCAACTGCCAGTCCAGACTACTTTAGTATACACTTTCATTCATAATTGAGGAACAATTTTTTAAAAGAAAACCAAAACAATCAAAACAATTTATTACCAATAAACCAAGACTACAGAAAATACTCAAAGATCTCTTAAAAACAGATGAAAAAATAGAGAAAACATATCCTTCCAGATGAGTAAATAAAACATTCATAGAATATGTACGTAAAATATGAAAGAAAATATTGAAGAAATGATTACATATCTTTAAACTTCACACTCAATGTCAATGGACTCAATTCTCCAATCAAAAAACAAAATAGTTGAATCAAAATGAAAAATACAACCATCTGTTGTCTACAAGAAACATATCTATCAATGAAAACAAACACTGGCTAGGGTGAAATGTTAGAAAAAGCCTTCCAAGTTCCAAACAAACAGACCCCAAAAGCTGGCAAATCAAACAAAGTAGATTTCCAATCAAAATTAGAAGACAAAAAGATAGCCACTTCATATTAACAAAGAGAACTCAGAATAAAGAATTCAAAACAATTTGTAACACCAATGCACCAAATATCAAGGACTTTTTTTCTGAACTTTTTTTTTTATTGTCAAGGTGATGTATAGAGGGTTACAGTAATATAAGTAAGGTAATAATTACATTTGTTGTCAAACATGTTACCCCTTAACTTTGTTAAAAACAAACCCTACTGGACCTAAAAACACATAAGCCCCGGTACAATTATATCTAAAAACTTCAATATCCCACTATCTCAACAGATAGGTCACCTAGACAAAAATTCAACAAAGAACTTAAAAAATATTACAGACTGATTGGACCTGCAGCCTTCTACAGAATTTTTTATCCAGCAGCTATAAAATATGCATTTTAGTAGCTCATAGAATATTCTTGAAATAGATCATATGCTAGAATATAAAACAGGTCTCATCAAATATAAGAAACTGAAATAAACCCCTGTATCCTGTCAGATCATAACAATAAATTTAAAAATTAACAGCAAAAGAAAGCATGGGAGATATTCAAACTAATAGAGATTGAATAACACATTACTGGATGAGGGAGTAGTTGCAGAGAGAGAAGGGAATATCCTAACAGTTTATAGAACCCAATGGAAAAAAATATAAACTATCTGAACCTTTAGGATACAACAAAGACAATTCTGAGGGAAGTTTATCCCTATGAGCACTTATATCAACAAAATAAGGGCGTTCTCAAACTAGTATCCTGATACATTTCAAGCCCTTAGAAAAACAAGAACAAGACAAAAAAAAAATATAAGAAGGACCTAAATAGGGAAGGAAAATTGTGTGCATATGTGTATCCACACACATATATGTATATATACAACATATGTATGTACATACACATACATATACATGCATGCATAAACACCTGCACACATATGTATACACACAATCTTTCTTCCCTAGTTAGATCCTCTGTGTGTGCATGTGTACGTGTGTGTGTATGTACACACACATATAATTTGCTGGAAGTACCACAATTCCAGAGTTCAAACTATACAAGAGCCATAGTAACACAAACATCCTGGTACTAGCACAAAAACACTTAAAAACCAATGGAACAGACTAGAACCCATACACCAATAACCATCAGATTTTCAACAAAGGAACAAAAAAAAAAATGTTGAGGGAAAAAAAAGCTTGTTAACAAATGGTACTTGAGAAAAAAATGTATGTCCATATGCAGAAGAATGAAACTGGACTCCAGTCTCTGACAGAAGTACTATACTGATAGGAAATCAAAGGGGATCAAAGACCTCAATGTAAGACCTGAAACCTTGAAATGACTACAGGAAAAAGTAAACACAAGAACTTATTGGGTCTACATGGGAACTTCCTGAATAAAAGACCAGGGGCTAAGAAAAGTGGAGAATTGACTAGGGATAAAATCACTAAGCTAAGCCGGGTGCTGGTGGCTCACGCCTGTAATCCTAGCTACTCAGGAGGCTGAGATCTGAGGATCGCGGTTCAAACCCAGCCCGGGCAGGAGAGACCGTGAAACTCCTATCTCCAATAAACCACCAGAAAACCGGAAGTGGCGCTGTAGCTCAAGTGGTAGAGCGCTCGCCTTGAGCTGAAGAGCTGAGGGACAGCGCCCAGGCCCAGAGTTCAAGCCCCACGACACGACCGACAAAAAAAAAAAAAAAAAAATCACTAAGCTAAAAAGACAGCCTATAGAATGGGAGAAGATCTCTTCTAGCTAAATGACTGACATAGGAGTTCAAAAAACTAAAACCCCAAAGAATCAATAACCCAACTAAAAAATGGGCAAAGTAGCAAAACAGATACTTCTTAGAAGAGCAAATGGTCAACATATGAAGAAATGTTCACCATCCCTGGACATAAAGGAAATAAAAATCAAAGGAACATGAGATTCCATCTCACTTGGATCAGAATTGCCTTCATTGAGAAAACAAATAACAAATACTATTGAGAATGTATGGGAAAAAGGAATCCTCATACACTGTTAGTGGAAATGCAAATTAGTGCCACCATCATGGACATCTGTATGTAGGTTTCTCAAAAAATGAAAAACAGAACTGATCTCTGATCCACATATTCCATTTTGGGGTATTTTTCCAAGATATTGAAAATGAGGATGCAATAAAGGCACCTACACACATGTTCATTGCTGCACTATTCACCATGATGAAGTTATGGCAACATCCCAGATACCCTATAATGGATGAACAGAGCAAGAAAATGTAGTATGTATACACAATTGAATTTTATCCATCCATCAGGAAGAATATTAGATCACTTGCAGGTATACAGATGAACCTTGAAAAAAATCATATTTGTTAAAATAAGTCAAGGTCAGAAAGATAAAGGATGCATGTTTTTTCTCATATGAGAAGTCAGACCCAAAACATAAACATGAAAATATATAGACTCATATGCATGTATGTATGCACATATACAAATATAACAATGGAGCTAGGAAACTTGAAATCAATAGGGATGGGACAAATAGAAGGCAGGGAGAATGATGGAAGGGTGACAATGACCAAGATGCATTATGTACCTAAACGAACATGTTATGGACAAGAAATGTACTCACTGCCTTACTTATGTAACTGTAACCCCTCTGTACATCACCTTGACAATAAAATTAAAAAATAAACTTAAAAAATTAAAATTCTTTGGTACAACTATTTAAAGATATTAATAAAAAGTAGGCGGAAAAGATTTTCCTTTATTGATTTCTGCCTATATTCTCCACTCAATACTTTTATAATGAGTCTGTGTTCTAATACTTGGGATTGTTCTGTCCTGCTTTAGCTTTTTAGGAAAAGTGAGGTTCAAATACAGGGAAACATTCAAGGAAGGTTAACATAATCCACTGTAAAACCAGACATAAAAAAAATACTTCTTTCAGATAATTAATGTATTAATTTCTTTGAAATGTCAAGGAGAAATACTTCTAAAAGTTTTCTACATTAAAAGTAAAAGGGCACTCACCAGTTTACCCCATCTGCTTCCACCCAGGCAAAGCGGTACTCATTGACCCGGAGCATCAGCTGTAGGCATCCAGCCACACACTGTACATACTGAGAACTCTACACAAGAAGAGGTGCACAGTTTTAAATTGGAAAGCACTTAAAGTCCTGAGATCAGACAAATTTCTACATAAAAATCTCATTTTTACTACAATGTTTTAGCCTCTGAGCACCCCAAATTCACGAGTATGTTCTTAAAAGCCAATCCTCAAGTTTGCTTTAATCTCTACTTCACAGAAATGAAGACAAGTTTGTATCCCAGATTAATCTACAGAATTCATTATTGAACACATTTAGGATATCTTTGATACTTTGATAACTAAGCATATTGATTTGCCATATTTCACATACTCCTGAACAACAAAAGCACTCTAGAGAGAGAATAACACTCTGCCTAATTATAAAAAAAAAAAAAAAAACAAAGAAAGGGCTGGGAAGGTGGCTCAGTGGTAGAGCGCTTGCCTTGCATGCATGAGGCCCTAGGTTCAATTCCTCAGCACCACATAAGCAAAAAGAAAAAAGTCGGAAATGGCGCTGTGACTCAAGTGATAGAGAGCTAGCCTTGAGCTGAAGAGCTGAGGGACAGTGCCCAGGACCCGAGTTCAGGCCCCATGACCAGACCCAAAAATAAAAAATAAAATACCAAAGAAAAAGAGTAAAAAGAAAAGTGGATGTTCTGTGGCAAGCTCATATTTGAATAACTTTTGGCAAGTTTCTAAATCTCTCCAAACGGTGCTCAGCTTCTTTGTCTATAATAAGGGAAACACTACCAAGGGACAATGCCTGAAGGGTGCTGTTAGGTTTAAGGAAAATAATTAATTTAGCATACAGCCAGATGAAAACTTCAAAAGCTAGGGTTGGCATATTAAAAAGTGTTAAAAAAAACACTTGCGGAGGAAGGGACAGGGGAAATCCTTGGTTCTAATACTGCCAGTTCAGTAGCTGTTTAAGCACAGAAACTGTGCTTAACATGAAACTTCAAATAAAAAGTCTCAAAGACCTCTATTTTACCAAAGACAATGCCAGGCACTGGTGGTTCATGCCTGTAATCCTAGCTATTCAGAAGGCTAAGATATGAGGATCATGGTTCAAAGTCAACCTAGACAGGAAAGTCCTGAGACTCTTATCTCCAATTAACCCCCAGAAAACTGTAAGTGGCACTATGGTTCAAGGCTGTAGAGCACTACCTTGAGTACAAAATGCTCAGAGACAATTCCTCAGGCCCTGAGTTCAAGCCTCACAACTGACATTGAAAAAAAAAAATTAAGCCAGATAAAAGGCCTACACGTATTTAAAATATACTCAATGAGCCTTACATCTTTAAGAAGCAGAGAAATAGTCAGGCACCAGTGGCTTATACCTATAATTCTAGCCACTCAGGAGACTGAGATCTGAGGACTACAGCTCCAAGCCAGCCCAGGCAGGAAAATCTGTGAAACTCTTACGTCCAATTACCAACAAAAAGCCAGAAGTGGAGCTTTGGGTCAAGGAGTAGAACACTAGCCTTGACCACAAAAGCTCAGGGACAACACCTAGGCCCTGAGTGCAAGCCCCAGGAATGGCACAAAAAAAAGAGAGAGAGAGAGAGAAACAAAAGGGAATTTTTTTTTTAACTTTTTGGGTCCGGTCGTGGGGCCTGAACTCTGGGCTTGGGCGCTGTCCCTCAGCTCTTCAGCTCAAGGTTATTAGCGCTATACCACTTGAGCCACAGGACCACTTCCGGCTTTTTTCTTTTTGCTTATGTGGACAAAAGGGAATTTTAAGGCTGTAGACTTCATGAAAAATAATTATACAGTCTTTTTAACAGAAGAACTATAGATGTTATGAAATTCAAAAAAACCTAACATTCATGATACTAGTAAACTTCATGGTCTATGTTAAACATCATCTATTAAAAAAAAAAACTAACTCTTCAAAGAAATTCTATGCACTCAAATACAAAAACACAATGATATAAGTACATTTGGTTGAAATAAACAAATGTTATAAAGAAAAGTTATCTATATTCAACCTAGAGAGTAGTAAATGTCATTCCCACAATATATCCAGGAATATAATTTGCCTCAAAAACTCAAAACATTAGCAGAAATTAATAGACAAATAGTGCATTTCAACTCTAAAACAATCATCTAAGGCATAATAAAATATGCATCTTTTCAATTAAGTCTGCAGTAGAAACTTCTACTATAGAAGAAGGATTTATCTTTCTTGTTTAGTAAGAGAATTTGAGTAAGATTTCTATACATAAATAAAAAAGCAACCCAAGGAATTCTCTCCTTTTCCACATATCACCTATGGTCTCTCAATGTAAAAAAATGTCTTGGTTCATTATAAGCCTTTTCTATGTCCATTCACTATGTTTGTTGAATTACATGACAAGTAAGGGTTCTTTTTCCGTTCTAGTTTCAGTGCTCACATTATAAATAAGCAGTGGTGGGGTCCTGGTCCTACAACAATGACTCTTTCCTACTGTTCACAATAAAGCAGTTCACATACTGTTACAATGGTTATGCTCCAAATACAAAGCAACATAGCTCCAAAGGGTCTGTATCCTCCTCTTTCACCATTTAGATCTCTCTCCCAGGGGTATAACCTCCTTCCTTAAACTTTCCCAAGGCAGCCTGAGCAAACCTCCCACCCAAAAAAAGACCCCTTTTATTATACCACTAAAGAACTCTGCATCTTTCTTATATGCAGTGCCACAAAAATAAACTGTGTAATTCCTTGTTTAATGTTGTCATCCCCAAACATAATGTAGCCCTCTGAAGACAGGACTCACACTCATTATGTTCAGTATTATATGTCAACTTCACGCACTATACCTTGGAAACACTAAATAAATGTTGACTCCCCAAAATAAATTACAAATAATCCCTATAACACATACTAAACAGTGCTCTAATAGAAAGCAATCAATAAATAGTCTAAACATTTAAAATCATGCTTAAAATTGCTACAATAACAGTAATACTGCAAGAATATATACAATAGAAAGTGAAGAAGGTGATAATGTCCAAAAAGAAATGTACTCTTCAACAGAGCCAAGGTCAAGAACCACATGATTACCTCCACTGAGGCAGAAAAGACTTTTGACAAAATACAATACCCATTCATATTAAAAACTCTGAAAAAACAGGAATAGAAGAAACATTCTTTAAAACAATAAAAGCCATATACAACATACAAACAGCCAATATCACACTAAATGGGGAAAAACTACAACCAATTGCCCTAAAATCAGGAACAAGGCAAGGATGCCCACTCTTTCCACTCTTCTCAATATAGTTCTGGAATCCTTAGCCAAAGCAATAAGGCAAGAAAAAGATATTAAAAAGGATCCACATAGGAAAGGAGGAAATAAAACTATCCCTATTTGCAGACTACATGATCTTATACCTAAGCAACCCCAAAAACTCTACTCCTAAATTCCTAGAACTTATAAACCACTTTGGCAAAGCAGCAGGATGTAAAATTATCCCACAAAAATCAGTTGCCTTTCTGTACACCAACAATATCCAACCAAAAAGGGAAATCAAGGAAACAACCACATTCACAATAACCTTAAAAAAAAACCTAGGAATTAGCCTACCCAAATATGTAAAGGACCTATTTAGTGAAAACTACAAAAATCTAAAAAAAAGCAATTAAAGAGGATATCAGGAAATCAAAGGACCTCACCTGTTCATAGATAGGTAGAATCAATATTGTGAAAATGGCCATATTGCCAAAAATGATATACAAATTCAATGCAATTCCTATCAAAATCCCAATGACATTCTTTACTGAAATAGAGAAAACAATCCAAAACTTCATATGGAATCATAAAAGATCTAGAATATTAAAGCAATTCTAGGCAAAAGAAAACACAGAAGGTATCACGATACCAGATTTCAAGGTCTACTATAGAACCACAATAACAAAAACAGCTTGGTATTGGCACAAAAACAGAGGAGAAGACCAATGGAATAGATTAGAAGATCCAGAAATAAAACCACATAGTCAGCTGATATTTGACATAGATGCCAAAGACAAAAGTGGAAGAAACATAGCCTCTTCAACTATTGGTACTGGGAAAACTGGGCAGTCACATGCAGAAAACTTAGAATGGACCCCAGCCTGTTACCATGCACTAACATCAACTCAAAATGGAGTAAAGACCTTAACATCAAACCTGAAACTCTAAGCCGGGTGCCTGTGGCTCACGCCTGTAATCATAGCTACTCAGCAGGCTGAGATCTAAGGATCAGGGTTCAAAGCCAGCCCGGGCAAGAAAGTCCATGAGACCCTTATCTCCAATAAACCACTTGAAAACTGGAAGTGGCACTGTGGCTCAAGTAGTAGAGCGCTGGCCTTGAGCTGAAGAGCACAGGGACAGCACCCAAGCCCAGAATTCAAGCCCCACGACCGACCAAAATAACAACAACAAAAAAAAAAAAACTCTGAAACTACTGCAGGACAGAGTAGGAGAGACATTAGGACTTACAGGCACAGGCAGGAACTTCCTGAACACAGCCCCAGGGTCACAACCAATTGGAGACTCAACAAATGGGACTACCTTAAAATAAAGTTTCTGCACAGCTAAAGACATAGGTACCAAACTAGAAAGACAGCCAACCAACTGGGAAAAGATATTTACCAGCAATATATCAGACAAAGGCCTAATATCCACTATATACAGGGAACTCAAGAAATGAATCCCTCCCAAATCTAACAAACGAATCATAAAATGGGCAAGGGAACTAAAGAGAGACTTCTCAGTTGAAGAGATTTTTTAAAAAATTGCAAAGAAACACATGAGGAAATGCTCATCACCCCTGGCCATAAAGGAAATGCAAATAACCTTACTCCAGTCAGAATGGCCCACATCCTAAATTCAGCCAACGACAAATGTGCATTTGGCAGGGATGCAGAGAAAGAGGAACCCTATTGCACTGCTGGTGGGAATGTATACTAAAACAACCACTCTGACAAGCAGTCTGGAGCTTCCACAGGAAGCTAAATATAGACCTCCCCTATGACCCAACCATATCACTCCTAGGCATCTGCCCTGAGCAACAGGA